TATTTTTTTTTTTTAGAGTTGTCTACAAAGTGGAATAATTTCTGTTGTAACAGGGATCAGGACAGTAAATCTGAAAATGCAAATAAAAGATGAGAAGTTCGATGTATATTGACCAAAGTTATAAAGATTTAATTATGTAGTATATGCAACATGACAGTTATTAGTAAACTGATTAGGATGAACAGACTGGTTTTTGATTGTTTATCACATAATGCACCAGATTATTACACCACCCCATTTTGTAATAATTGCCGCAAAATGTAATAACGTTATTACATAATGTGGTGAAGATTTTTATTACATTTTGCTTCAATTATTACATAATGCAGTTTTAGCATGAGTTTATTACATTTTGAAGTCTGATTTTGTTACATTATTACATAATGCGCTGTTATTACAAAATGAGGTCTTACAGGGTATAATCTTTAGACTTGTGTTTACAGGTAAACTGAAGGTTATAAAAACCTCAGGAAAGCAAGAATTGTTAACACAGCACGTAGCTTACCTTTCCACATAACCAGTTCAACTATTTTTATTCCAAACACTGCAAAATCGTCCAACTTCCTGATTGTTGCCAGGCTGCTGCCATGCCCCAATTTCCTCATTTTAGCTGGAGTTTACATTTACCCATTTTGTCTCTGCATCTGAAGTTTTCCTGTTTTCTCTCGGCCGTCATGTGTCCTGTGATCATCACTGACCAGCCACAAACAATTATTAAGTAAAGTGGTTCTGCATATGACTCTCATGCACTACCAATAGATCACCCTGATAAACCTGTGGCTGAGAGTTTTCCAAAATCACTCCTCAGTTTTCTTAAAGATAAATTAAAACTATTTAACGCCCCTGAAGTTCAATAAATTTTATGCTTTTAATGTCATTTAAGGCCTTGATTTTAGATAAATCCATTTAATGACTTTTAAGGCATTTTATGACCTACAGAAACCCTGTTAAATTAGGTAAAAATATAAATAAAAAGTTTACTTTTTTGGGGGGTGGGCCATACTGAAGTCACCCTTGGGCCCAATGGTGGCCCACAAGCTGCTAGCTGGTACTGTTCATGCTTTGGTTCCTATTTATCTGGTAGACCCTTCTCTGTTGATTTTGGAAACTGATCTTCCTCAAGACCCCTCATTAGTTGTGGAGTTCCTCAGGGATCTGTGCACTCGCTGTCATATGTAGCTGCAGTTACATAGCTGGCAGTATTGCTACTGACCCAGTCCAGAGATGAAGAGGAGATGCTGGACACCATGACGTACAGAATCAGCCAGTGTCAGGTTGACAAAGGCTTTGATGTTTAGATGGTCCACCAGAGCGAGCCAGGAGTCATATTGGGACTGCAGGGGGTCAGACGGTAAAGTGCCTGGAAGCAAAAAAAAAACAAACCTATAAAATAAAATCAATAACAGAATGTGGGACGATGACGGTAAGTGGTAAGAAATACAGTGGAACAGCAGAATGTTGACTAGAGCTCAGAGTATACTCACTTTTTTATGCATGATGAGATATAAAATCAGACGTCTTTTAGTCTAATATGATTTGATTCATGTATACTGTGTCCTTGTAAAACCTTGCCTATCTGTGCATTTGTCCTTATGTTCCCTGTTTTTGTTATCAAAACAATGAGCTGCAGAATCCCTTAAAATTTCTTCATTTTTGCCAGCCTGGATACTTTTCCATGCACCATTTCCCTTTAGTTTCTGGCCTTGGAAGTTAGGTTTGGGTGTCACACTGGAGGCATGACACAAAGGATTTTAATTTAAGTTTTGCTTTTAATAACGCCACTCTGCATATGTTTGCCTCTCTGCATCTCTCTCTCTCTCTCTCTCTCTCTCTCTCTCTCTCTCTCTCTC